CATTCATAGATGATTTCTGGGCGAATGCGAACTTCAAATGTAAACAATGCCAGTCCAGCAATACTGCCACTTCCGGGTTCGCAGACAAGTAGTCTCACGGAAAATCGTTCAATCCAATTCGGAGTGATGCCGTCTCACAGTTCAAGTTCCCACAACTTCAATTCAGCAACTTTCCAGTGATGAAAGTGCTCTTTTCAGTCAGCGACTTTCAGTTTCACCTTCCGTGTCCCCTCGTCAGTGAATTCCCTCTCTCTCCTATGGTTTCCTTTTTTTCCTCCTCTGTCAATCCGCGAGCGCGTGACCCGTTATTTCAAATTGACTAATAATGTGAATGAATCACGTGATAATAAGCCGAATAAACAGATTAATTAGAACAAATAATAGGTCACTCATAAATGTGACAAATAAACACTGGGCATGGCACAATACAATCAGAACTATTTTCTAAGCCGCATCACATGCGCTCCTTGATTGCTAAGTGTAGAACTATTTCATAACGTAACAACTTGTACATGTATGTACCATAATAACTCTATTAGACTGATCATTCATAAAACAACTTATCCACTATGTTTCGCTAGCATAGAAATTACACATGGTTACATATACAAGGGTAACACGATATAACAAACGAATGTTCAAATGATAAAAATCACTGTCAACTTTGTATTTGATACAAGATCCTGCCGTCTAGTTATCGGCTCCACATAGCCGATCAATCACCCTGAACCACATCGAGGTTACAACTCTGTTAGCCTTGCTCAACTGGTTCGTAACCAGTCTTGTGATTGGTTCTTCGCCTCCAACTGTGCCGTGCGTTCGGGCCAACCGTTAATTATTCATAAATGGAGTAAATTTGTGTAGTTTTCTTGATTTATTCTGCAGATATACATGTAGGTAAAATATAGGCAAGGCTTTGGCGAAATTTGAAAGAGCAACTAATATTCTTCAACCTGGTATTTTTTATAGATTTTATTTTTCACTCTGTTTGTCTGTTTTTTCCAGTTTAAAAAATATGAGCTAGCTAGAGCCTTCATCCCTTGTCTACACAAAAGACCCCCCCCCCCCCACCACCACCACCACTCATAGGGAGTGCGTACAGTTGATTATAGTTCCTAGGCTCCCTGTGATATAATGCTCATTACTTTGACATGCGAATAAATTTGGCATGAAACGAAATATAGCAGACAATA